ATTTATTTTAAAAACAAAATACATGGATGGATTAGATATATTGAGTTGATTTAATTATTTTAAATAAAATAATTAGTTAATTAATTAACTAAAATAAAAATTAATTAAAATATATAACAACAAATTAAGTTTAGTTTCTTAAAACCGTGATTAGAAAAAGTTGCTGCCATCGACAAGATTGAAAGATAAAAGAATAATAATAGGGCTAGAGAGGGAAAAAAGAAAGAGAGTATTTAAGGCATTTCGAATGGGAGACCCATCAAAAAAAAAAAAAACCTATTAAATGAAGAGCCAAAATGGCTTTTTAATCAAAGAAAAGTCAATCACACATATTTATTAAAAGAACCAAAACATTAAAATATATTATTTAAAAAAAAAATTCATCCATTAAATTTTTCTCGGTAAATTTTTTGAAAACATATATTAATATTAAAATACAAAGTAGTTGTTAAAATAACTTTTTTTTCATTAAGGTTTTTTTAAAAAAAAAGACTAACATTTCAAAAAATCATATTAATTATTTGACTTCCAAATAGCTTTTTTCATTGAAAATGCTTTTATTCCAAGGATTTTATAAAATACAGGGTTACATTATTAGTAAGCTATATAAGATATACAAATTAGATCAAATCAATAACATTATAAAAATTATAACTTTTCACATAACTTAATATTTATTTTTTAGACTTTTTAACCTGCTATCTTGTATATTATCTATATTGATATATTATATTAGTTTAAATAATATAAATATGTTGTTGTTTATAACATTTTTAAATAATGTTTGATATTGTGGTAATAATTGTTTTTTAAAATATTTTTTATTTGAAAATATATCAGAATAATATTTTTATTTATTTTTTAAAATTTATTTTTAATATTAGCACATCAAAATAATTAAAATAAAAAAAAATCAAATTTTGATATAAATATAGTTTAGTCCACGTTACCAAACAAACTCAAGCTATTTAAATTTCAGAATAAGATAAAAATTGAACCTAGCCCAAATCACCTATGTTATCAAATTCAACCACTATTCAAAATTTAATAATTTATGTCTTCAGCAATACTCACTAAAGAGAATTTTTCTTAAACTAGCACAATTAGAAAAGTAATTTTTATTATAACACACAAACAGTAGTTGCATGTATATTATATATGCACCTGTAAGTAAAAGATATAGAAGTAGTAGCATCATCGCCTTGTTAATTAATTTCACTAGTTTTCCCTTCTTTTTTTCTCCCTTTACTTCGTTTTATGTTCCGCTGCTTCTTAATTCTTCCGCGCCGCTCTCAACTCAAGCAACCTTATTTTAGGGTATCTTCGATATTACAGTAACAGTTATAATTTAAAATATTTTTTATTTATAAATATATTAAATTAATATTATTTTTATTTTAAAAAAATTATTTTTTATACCAGCATATTAAAACAATCTGAAAATATAAAAATATTAAAAAAAAAAATTTATTTTTATTTTTAAATAGATTAATAAAATATGCTTTTAATCTCCAGCATAAAAAATTATCTCTCTCTCGTTTTCATGAGAGACACCTCTCTCTCTCTCTGTATCTCTCCGTCGTCCTTTCTCTCTCAGCTGTCTACCTGTGACTATCACAAATCTCCCTCAATCTTCAATGCTACCGATACCACCACCACCTATAAGCTCCTTATTTAACTAATTTAAGGTACACTACCCTTTTTTATATTAATTTGTTAATTAACTTCTTAGAGTTTTAAATAAATCAACAATTATACATATTTAGTCTTCTTTTTTTTTCCGGGCACACTTATCCCTTGTAAACCTTCACTGCATCTACAATTTAACGCAATAACACCTAAAAAAATAAAACTAAATCCATTTTGTCTCAATGGCTTTTTGGTCAACACTTAATTTCTAAGAAATTAATTCCTTGTTGTTTTTCTTTTAAATTTCACATTCAATCATGATTATAGACTTTCAACGTAAACTTCCGCGTCCTATAACAAAACAATCCAAAGAAATTATTCGTCATTAAATGGCAACCAAACATTGGCAAAATAGTCATTATTTTTAATTCGTGTGTAGTTTTTAATTGATATGCATATACTTCTGATGATAGAGGTCATTAATTTGTTATACGTTTAACTATTTAATTTAGTTAATTTTTAATTAAATTGATATTATTTATTGTAATGAATTATTTTAATGCTATTATTAATTTTTATAATCATAAATTTATCTATTATTTTTTTAGATTAATATAGATATCTGGCCAACTTATGCACACCACGATTAATTTTATAGACTTTAAAATTAATTATCATGTAAGTCTTTAGTAATCATCATATAAACAATTAAGAATTTAAACATTTAAACATGAGATCGAAAAAAGTAAATTTACTTATTATTAATTACATTGATTGATGACTATTATTTATGTTTTTTGTAATTATGTAAAATATTAACTTCAACTATTATTGCTGGACGAAGAGCTAAAATAGCAGAGTCTAGCGTTTTAAGAGTTTACACATGTAATATATAAGTGATTTAGTGGTTGCTCTAATGCTATTTTAAGCATCACTTTAAAAGGTGTAAGTTTTTCATTGTGCAATGCTCACTCTACTGTTCATCTTCTTTACATATTAATGTGGAGGAGCTATGCAATTTTTTTTTAGTTTGGTCCTTAAATCTTTTTTTTTTAGTTTAGTCTTAATTGAAGATCAATAAATTTTGATTTTTTATATAAAGGTAGAATTGAAAAAAGAATGACCAAAAAAAAAAAACCAAACATAGATGACATGTCTTTAAGTCTTGTAAAAGATGTATCTTGGCCCTTGAACTTTATAAATCATGCAAGTTGTGCAATTTCAATACCTCAATATCTTTTCAATTTAATTTTTGTAAAAAAGTTTATTTTTGTTATTTTTTTATTCCTAGATAAGAGAGGAGAGAGAGAAAGGTCACTAGATTTTGGTGGTAGAGAGAAAAAAGTATCATTAACATTAATTTCAACCACTTAAATTAATTATTTTTGTGTCAAATAGTTTCATTTGACGATGAAAGTTTATATTAAGTACTTTTTTACCTTTAAAGTGCACGAAAAAAAATCTAAACTCAAGTTGATTGTGGTTGTTGTGATGGTATTTTAGACTATTTATAAGTTTATCATGGTTTCCACAATGTTTTGGATGAAAAAGAGGTTGAAAAACAAGTTTTAAAGAAAAAAATTTAAGTATGATGTGGGTGGAATTTAATCAAATAAACAACACATCATTTGATTTTTTTAAAAAAAAATTTTAGTCATTCACCTTAATTGCAAATAAAAAAAATTAAGGGCTCAATTTTATATAGATCTTGACAAAATGGATCAAGCAAGCAGGCTAGCCTAGCTTACCAAGCCTATTAGTTCCCAACCTTTTTTTTATTTGTTTTAAAATTAATGATTTTTTAATATATTTTTTTAATTTAATATTTTTATCTATATTATCGTTTGCTTAAATAAAAATATTTTAATAAATAAATTTAGTAACATAACCAGGTGAATGTCCAGTTATATTAAATATTTTAATTTATATCTGTGTCTTAATTTTTGAAGTTTTATTTTTAAGTATTTTTAATAATTTTTTAATTATTCATTCACATATATAGTTTTTGATTTATTTAATTAATATAAATTTTTTTAATCTAAATTCAAATTTTTTAAACAATTGAAAAAACTTATATATATATATAATTTTTTTATAAAAAATATTGAAAAAACTTATATATATATATATATATATATAATTTTTTTATAAAAAATAAAAATATTTTACATGATTCGCATATATATTTCACAACCTATAATTTGTAATAATGCTATATGTAAACTACTAGAGTGAAAATTATTTTCTCAATTCTGGAAAATAAATTTCCCACTCCATAACCCGTAAGAATGAATAGAGGAGAGAGAAGGCGTGGAGGAGCCGAAGGGAGATGTATAACGCTGATCAGGTCCATCATGTTCGTGATGGAGTTGAAAATGTAGTTGTTATTATTTTTTAAATAGTTTTTTATGTTAAAATATATATTAATAATATTTTTTTATTTTTTAAAAATTATTTTTGATATCAACATATCAAAATGATTGAAAACACGAAAAACATATTAATTTGAAATTAATAAAATGAAAACACAAAAAACATATTAATTTTAAATTAATAAAACGAAAAACATATTAATTTGAAATTAATAAAAAAATAAAAAAAATTTAACTTTTTTTAAAAATACTTTTAAAATACAGAAACAAACAGGCCCTTCGTAATCGTGTCCGGAGTAAAAATTTTTCAAATAAAGAAATAAATTACTAATAAATATTTAGTATTATATATTATATAAATATATGTTATATAAAGAAAAATTAATTTAAAAATTTTTTAAATAAAAAAATTATATTATAATTATTCTTTTTTGAGATTTTATATTTTAAAACTGTTTTATAATGATTTTATTTTTAATATAAAACAAACTTTTATTTATTTATTTTTAAATTTTTTAAGAACTATAAAAATTTTTGATAATAATTTTATGCTGACATATGATATAAAATATCTACAATCATAACTTAAAAAAATTATCATAAATTAATATTGTTCTTACCTATTTGTTGTTTTGTATAAGTATATTAAATATAAATATTAAATATTTTTTTAATTTTTTTTATTATATTTCTAATTTTTTTAGCTGTAATTCTCTTTTAATAATTAGTAAATTCATTATTATTATTTTTTATGTAAAATTCATAACAAAATATTTATCAATTTATTAAAATTCATTTTAATTTATATTTATTAGTATATAATTTTATTTATACATATATTAATTTAACAAATTCATATATTATTATAAATTTTAATATTTTTAATAATTAATTAGAATAAAAAAAGCTAACAAATAGCCAATAAAAAAAAATTATTTTTTTTTTTTTTTAAAAAGGGAGCAATGGCCTTTTTTCGCACCCATGTGGCACTGATCATGCCCGTGCCCGCCAAAACACTGGTGACTAGTAAGTTAAATGGCGCGGGTGATAGGATTACAATACATTGGAGTGTAATCTTAGTAAGGAGCTGAGGAGAAATGGAGACGATGATGAAGAACTTCATGAAAAGCCATCAAACCCTGTTTCACCCAACCAAACCCTCTAATACAAATAATAACAATAATTATCAATACGACGGTGACGGAGAAGGCGACGATTCAACCATTCCCCACCTCTCTCCTCTCGCTCATTCCGTACTCTCTCGCTCTTCCAAGTAATTAATCATTTCTTTATTTACATCTTTATTTCCTTCCATTCTCCATTCACCATTCTCCGTTTTCTTTCTTTCCTTATTTATTTATTTTAGGCTAATTGGATTCTTTTCTTAAGTCAATTCAGCCTCGTTTATTACCATTCTTGAATTTATTGCTGGGATTATCTATCTATTTTCAAACAAAAAAAGAAGATAACGAACAAGCATGGCATTTAATTGATGAGAAATGAACCACCTGTTGTTGATAATGGTACTCCAGAATCCTTGCAGTCTCAGTGCAAGAGCTACGGCGTCGTTTTGATGTTGAGCATGAGTTTGATAGCCAGCAACTGGTGAAACACACAAGGATTTTCCTTGAGCTTTGTTGCTATCAGGCTCTCCATCATATTATCACAACCCGTTCTGATTATTTGAGTGACAAGGACTTCCGTCGCTTCACCTATGACATGATGCTTGCTTGGGACTCGCCTACTCATACCCTTCCCGTCAACGATTCACCACAGAATGTGAGACGCACCCCAACCCCAACCCCTTACTTTGTGGCTACATAACTTTTCTTATTTCTTCTTTTTTATTATTATTCAAACGCTCTATAAGTTTTTTCTATTCTATTCATCAATTGTAGGAAACCAGCATCTCTTCCGGTACACGACAAGAGGAGGATGAGGATGGCTGGTCCCTTTTTTACTCCACTACCACAAGTATGGCTGTTCAGGTTGATGACACAACAACTGTTGGCCGAGAGGCTTTTGCCCGTATTGCTCCTGCCTGTCCTGCTGTTGCTGACGTAATAACCGTCCACAATCTTTTTGATTCGCTCACTACCTCTTCAGACAGCAGACTTCATTTTCTCATTTATGATAAATACCTTCGCAGCCTTGACAAGTATCCATTGCTCTCTTTTCATTTTATTTTTCCATTTCATTTTTAACATTTCCTAATGGCACTGTGTCGGAAATACAACAAGTTCTGTTGTAAATCTCCATAAACATTTTTACCAACCTGTCCTTGTTCCGTATCTGCCTCTCCATTTCTCTCTGTGGTTTGACTATGCAAGATGGACGAAAATCTCAGTGTTCACTTACATTGTGGCTCCTTCTATTTCTGCAGGATCATTAGGAGCGCAAAGAACACACCAGGACCCTTGATTTCCAACCATCAGCTTGCTGAAGGAGAGATCATCCTTGATGTTGACGGTACAATTCCCATTCAACCTGTTCTACAGCATATTGGAATCTCAGCATGGCCAGGTGAGTTGCCAAGTGCAGAGCAAGATATCAGGGGATCAGATCAACTTCGTCATCTTTGTTGATTTTGATCTGTTAACCCTTTAATTGCATCATTTGTTGATTTTGACATTTTAACAAGCCTCAAACTGCATTTTGGATAATAATAGTGGCTTATTGTGTTGATTATGTGTGTTGTGGACACTGGTTTTTGAATGTGCCCTTTTCCACTTTCGTTGATTGATAACATTTGATTACTCTATGAACATGTCCTCTTTTTAGGTCAAGTTGTTTTTTTAGTGTTGACTGGATCTGTTGGCAAATGTAGGTGTGACACTGACCTTCAGGAAATAACACGTCTCAAATGAAAAAAAACCATGTCAATTCTCTCTCTCTCTCTCTCTCTCTGACAAATTGATGATCTTGTGTATGCAAGCACAAGACTGGTTGGCATTCATCTGTGGTGACCTATTCTATTAAAGATGTCTTCACTGGCATTTCAAAGATATTTTTATGGCGTGCCAGAGTTACGCAGCTCAAATTTGTGTGAACTATAATTAATGGTTGGAGGGTTTTCTTTTGGTACCTTTTGATGCTTATATGTAGATCCTGTTACTTACAAGAACAATGTAGAGGCAGAACTTTTTGGTTTTGGGTCAGTGTGCCCTGTTCATGGATTGATTTTTTGGTTAAAATTTGTCAAGGACTCTGTTAATGCATGTCAATTTGTTGACTTTCTCTGTTGTGTAGGCCGATTGACACTGACTAATCATGCTATCTACTTTGAGTCATTGGGAGTTGGTTTATATGATAAAGCTGTTAGATATGATCTGGCATCTGATATGAAGCAGGTCATCAAACCTGAATTAACCGGACCATTGGGTGCTCGTCTCTTTGATAAAGCTGTGATGTACAAATCAACATCTGTGTATGTTATTTGATAACCTTGCTGATTGAATTTTGATATTTTAAATAATTGACGAGCTTACATAAGTAGACATGTCAAGTGTTCAACTGTCTTTAACTTTCTCTTCCTCCTTCCTTTCTTTTGCTTCAGAGCAGAGCCTGTTTATTTTGAGTTTCCTGAATTCAAAAGCAATTCTCGACGGGACTATTGGTTGGATGTGTGTCTTGAGATCCTGCATGTGCACAGATTCATTCAGAAAAACAACTTCAATGAGACTCAGCGGTTGGAGGTACTTGCAAGGGCTATCCTGGGCATCTTTCGATGTCGCGCAGTTAGAGAAGCTCTCTGCCGCTTTTCATCTCATTACAAAACCTTGCTTGCTTTTAAACTGGCTGAAAGTCTTCCCCGGGGAGATATGATCTTGGAAACTCTGTCCAGTCGCCTGGCACTTCTGAATGCAACTCCTGTTAGTGGATCTCCACATGCAAAACAGCAATTGAGACTTTCACCAGTTGCACTTCTGACACTTTGTCAACTTGGATTTATCTTACAAAAAGAAGCAAATCTAGATGTAGAAGTTATAGCATTTGGGGATCTTTGGGCTGGTGAGAAAAATCCTTTGGAAATATCTGTGAAACAGTCAATGTCAGATACTGGGAAAGCTGAAGTTGCACGGGCAACAGTGGACAAAGTGAAGGTTGAAGGGATTGATACAAATGTTGCAGTAATGAAGGTTATTATAATAGGTCCTTACTAGGACAAAGTCACATGTAGAATAACTGAGTTTCTAAGGTAGTATATCTAATTGCACCACTGCTTTTATCATCATGAAAGTAGGGTTTCTTATGCTTCCCAAAAGTTTTGGTGGGCTACTTCCTCCATGCTTCTTTGGACAGGAAGCTTGGTTGATCAATCAGAACTTCAGTACTCTAGACTCCCAGGCAAAAAGAACTTTTTGAACCATTACCATGTCAAATATTACTACTTGGCTGCAATGATTTCAATCATTGTGCAGCTCTCTCTCTCTCTAATTTAAGTTTCTATACTGTTTATCTTTTCAAGTGAGATCGCCTTGAAGTAAAGTATCATTTGCAGGGTATTTATATGCCCCGTCCCTTGAATAGACATTCATCTAGGTTTTATTTTTTCAGGCATTGAAGATTTTTATGATTGTGGATTTTTTCTTTGGAATTACCATAAATACAAAGCTTATATCATCAAATTTTGCTCATTCCATTTATAATTTCTTTGTTTTTTCCTACTCCATTATAGGAATTGCTATTCCCGGTTATAGAATCAGCTGGCCGTCTCCATCATTTGGCCTCTTGGGAAGATCCTTTCAAATCGATGGTGTTTCTGGTGTTAAGCTGCTGTGCTATTTTATGGTAATTTTTCTTAAGCAATGCTAATTGGATTATTGGTTCTTATAGAAGGATGACATAAATGTTATTCTGGAGATAATGATTTGATGGTCTGATAGTCTATGATTTTAGCACTTTGATACATTAATGAAACTAATTATTGGTACTGAATTTTATTAATTTGAAGCTTAGCATCTGCCAAACTGGATTTCATGTTTTGGAGTTGTCTTATATATCCATTGATTTCTCCTCTTTTCTCATATTTCAACGAACTGCAAGTTGACATCCTTCAATGCTCACTTTTGCCATGCCATGCACATTTTCAATTCATCACAAGTGAATGAAGAAACCAACTGAAACAAAATGATTCATGATTATTTATAGGGGTTGGACCAGGTATATATTGCCATCCATTTTTGTGTGGTGTGCGGTTCTAATGTTGGTACGAAGGTATGTCAGCAAAAAGATGCCCTTAGAAGCCTTCAGGGTTACAGCTCCCCCAAATAAAAATGCTGTAGAGCGGCTGTTGACATTGCAAGAAGCCATCACAAAAGTTGAAGGATTAATTCAGACAGCAAACATTGTTCTTCTGAAGTTAAGAGCTATCTTGCTTGCAGTACTTCCCCAGGTATATGTCCTAATGGAGCTCAATGCCATCCATGTAGCATAACCTTTCTGCAATGGAGCATTTACATATTGGATTGTAGAGCTTCTGATGAGTTTCCTTAAACGTGTGTGCAATGCTTCTGTGAATAACAATTTGAGTTGAAAATCCATATACTAATAGGAGAATGCATTTATTTAATAGCATAAGCATAGATGAATTACAAAATGGCCAGTTGGTAGTCAATATCTATGAAACTAGAAGCTGTAAAACAAAGCTTTTCTCATTTGAAAGTGTACATGTGGGCAGGAAGTCTGAGACTAGCCAAGTCCTGTTTCATGACAAACTTGCTAATTGATACCTCCCCTTTATGCCAGGCCACAGAAAGGGTTGCTGTATTGCTGGTTTTCGTAGCTGCTGTGCTTGCATTTGCGTCTCTGCAGCATCTGATTCTCTTGGTATTTCTAGAAGCTTTCACAAGGGAAATGCCTTACAGAAAAGAAAGCAGTGATAGGTGGCTGAGACGATTAAGAGAATGGTGGGTCAGGATACCAGCCGCTCCTGTTCAGCTCATCAAACAGGATGACAAGAAAAGGAAATGAATCATCCAAGACCGATTCTTCTGCAAGCTGTAAATGCTGAAGCACATAGATGTTTTGCTTAAGGAATTACATACTGTATAGAAAGGAAGTAGAGGTCCTTCTTTAAAAGGCCTGGAAAGTAAAAGGCCATTGCATGATGGTATGATTTTGAACAGCATACGTTTAACATTTAAAATTTGAGTTACTGGAAGAAACAAGGACCCGTCCTGCCTGCAAATTTTGGCATGAAATAATTCCAGAGTTGCTGTACAAAACCTAAGCCGAGGCATTCTAAAAGGGATGGATGATCTATTTCCATCGTCAAACATTATCAGGCCAAAACTCGCGAAAAAAACCCCGCTCAAATTCCTTATCCTGTAAACGCTTCTCCAGCTCTTGCATCTTCCTTTGTTTCTTAGACAGTGCCTTGGACTTCCTTGAAGAAGAGCGATCCTGAAATTCACAAAAACGGGATGGCATCATTGTTAGTTGTTGTTATCAAGATAACAGAGTTGATCAATCCCAAAGGACCACAAACTAGTAGAGTGCTGGTGAAAGTCGGGATAACAACAGCTAATTTTTATTTTGTTAGAAGAAAAGAACCCTAACCTGGTTGTTTTTGTCCTTGGAGGAAGAAGAAGAAGCTGGGGCAGAAGAAGACTCGGTCGTGTTATTCTTCTTCACAAGTAATTTCTTATTATGATCAGCCCCAAGTCCACGCTTGTTATTCTTCAAATATGTTAGCACAGGCTCCAATCTCCCCTGCTCGGAAATCCCAAGGCCAGTTCCTTCCTTCCACCCGTGCTTCTTCAAGAGCTGAAAGCCAATGTTAGAGGAATCAATGGCTGTTGTTGAACCCCTAAATTGATCTCCCATCTTTTTTCGAAAAAGAAAGAAATCAACCGAAACCCAGATCCGATTGGCACTGCAATCACGAGTGGTGGTAACGGTTAAGAAGTAAGAATCCGACGTGAAGACCCACGCCCAACACGAGAAATAACAAGGAAAGATTTCAGGATGGTCGGTTCCCCTCTTCTCTGGTGGATCTGTTTATCTGAGGTGGCTCCGCACCGCGTGTCCGGACCTTTTAGGGCCCAACCCACTCTCGGGCCACCTCAAGTATTATATCTTTTTCACATAGAGTACATGTTTATTGTAGCAATGCAAGTATTTATTTTGAACGAGTCTTTGATATGGGGTTTGATTCAAGGACAAATTAATGCTTTTGATTTCAAAATATAGTAATTCTCTTCTTTTTTTTTTAAAAAAAAAGAATGGACTCAAAATTGTGTTTGAATTTACAAGTTTAAAAAATAATAATAAAAATTTAAGCTCACAATTCATTCATTTATTGAATTTTTTTTGGTAATTAATGAATATTGTAAAATGGATTCAACTTTTGATTATTAACATAAAAATATAAAATTCAAAGTCGAGATAGTTAGCATTGATTAGCATTCATAGGTAGATCAATGCTTTTATTAAGTAGAAGTACTCTTTGGAGTATTTGCTAGTGAAATTTATGTAGGCAAAATGAATGGTTTTCATTTTTCCTTTTGAAAGTAAAAAATAATAATAATAATAAAAAAATGTATTCCCAGATATCATGGAGTCCCCAGAACATGTTTGGAATAATATTTTTTAAAAATATATATTTTTTAAAATAATTTTTTTTATAATTTTAAGTTGTATAACAGTAGCTGCCACTCTTAAAAGACGCTCTAAAAATTACCATCCCACCACCAACGTCTTTGGCTGTACAGTACGGTATAGTACAGTATAGAATAGTAGGAGGGCCTCTGCCTCCACTCTTGTCATGCTCTGATAAAAATAATAAATAAATAAATTTAAAAAAGAAAAGAAAAGAAAAGAAAAAAATAAAAAAAACTATTGCGGAAATCAAAAATAGTATTTGGAGCAGGCGAAGAAATAGATCTATTCAACTTGTATTCAGAGGAGACTACCCCTTCCTTACTGTAGTAGTGGATTGATTGAACTATTAGAAGGAGAGAGAGAAAAAAGAGAAGGGGAATATCAGCATCAGCGTCATCGTCAGTGGTGATGGATTTGGATCAATGGATAGCGAAGGTTAAAGAAGGACAGCATCTTTTGGAAGACGAGCTCCAGCTTCTCTGCGAATACGTATATTCTTTATACTTTCTGTCTTTCTCTTCTAGGGTTTCTTTCTTTCTTTCTTTCTTTCCAATGCTTTCAGCATCTAAGGAAGTAGTTGAATTCAATTAGGGTTTATCCGCCGCACCCTTCTTGACGGATTGATTCATTTTGTTCCAACCCTGCAACTCTTGCTTTGTCTTTTCGTGCTTTCGATACTTTCGTTTTCTTGGCTAGCCAATTAATTCTAGACTAGCGCCTCCTCACATTAGGGCTTTTCATCTCTCAAGATGATCGAAACCCTTCCTGCAATTGATGCTACTCTTTGCTTTTATGTTTGCTTTCTCAATAAATTTCATGTCAAGGCGCTTACTTAGTTCAATTCTTTCATTTCGTGTTATTCTTTGGTATTCAGAATGCATTCAATTTGATTGTTTTCCTTTTACCGTATATAATAGTGTTTCTTCTTCTTTTTATATATAAATAATTAAATACACAGGTAAAAGAGATCCTCATTGAGGAGTCCAATGTGCAGCCCGTTAACAGCCCTGTCACTGTCTGTGGTGATATTCATGGCCAGTTTCATGATCTTATGAAACTTTTCCAGACTGGGGGTCATGTACCCGAGACTAATTACATTTTTATGGTAACTAACTTGTATACTCTCCGTATGATAAATCCCACTTTACTGCCATTTTTATGCCATATTATTGCTTCTTTTTAATGTCATTTTTTTTTATTGGAGTTCACTTAAACATTCCCGATGCTTTGGCAGGGCGATTTTGTTGATCGAGGTTATAATAGTCTTGAAGTATTCACTATTCTTTTGCTTCTCAAAGCAAGGTACATTCTTGTTTCTGTGCTTGTCATTCCTTTGTTCCATCTTTTTGCTGCATTGATATACCATTATGTGATTCAATGCACACCCTTCTTCCTGCCAAAACAACTACTTAGCTTTTGCAATAAAAAAGATTTGGTCCCATTATATTAGGCCAAATTATTACAAGGTCTCCAAAGGCCATATGGGAATTTGTCATCTCGATCTTTGTTAACTTTGCAACTTGAAATCCATTAGAAGTTGCCACCTGGTCACCTTAGTAGCTCAAATTCTGAAGACCAGAAGCTGGTCAGGCTATTTCCAGCTGCTGTATCATTCACCCACTAAGTTGTGATGAGTGAATCTTAGATTTTTTGCTTATGTTTTTGATGAACCTAGTTAATTTTGCTGTTTTCTATATCTTTTGGTTGTGTTTGTAGATACCCAGCTAATATTACACTTTTGCGTGGAAATCATGAAAGTAGGCAACTAACTCAGGTATGTTTTAAGTTGGACAGCAATCATTATCATGTGCAAGAGAGTGATGTGTAATACTCCACCATTTTTTGTCTAAGAAAATGTCAATTCTGGCTTTAGTAGCTATCATTATTCATAAGAAACCTGACAGAGCTTTTGATTTCCATGAGCACAGTTAAGTTACAAATGGCCATGCCCGTTGGGCATGATGGTTACTCAATGGCTATGAACTGTCCCTATAAGTTTAATTTAATACTGGAATAACCAAATGTTATTGGGGGAGAAGGGAGGTACATTCTTCCAGGATTACACTTTCATTTGCTCTAGCCTATGATAACAAGAAAATGGTAATTAAGGGTTCATTAGTGCACTCTTTAAACTTACTCAAGTCTGATAATGAGATGCCCAAGAAGGGAAGTGGACTATCAATTTGGGATAGAGGGTTTGCCACCCTGCTGTTGGACATCGTAAAGCGTGAACACTTTCGAATTCCTTTTAGTTAATGGAAGTATTTAAAACTTTCAGGTGCAGAAACATGATATGGTTTTAATAACTTGTAAGTTAAATTTAGAATGTTGCTCAGATACTAAATATATTTGTTAGGCTGTCAAAATTACTTTAGTTTCAAGGCAATCCATTTAGGTTGATTTATTTGGTTAATTTATGAAGAATACTGTAATTCATGCATATTTTGGTCGCTCAAATGGTCAAACTAATTCATCCAAACTTAGTTTCGAGGTTCCCACATGTCCATTCTTTTGTGCTAATAGATACAGGAACTTTGAGAACACGAGTCTGAAATTTTGTGGGATATCCTCAGTGCTGGTGTCAAATCTGTTTGGGTTTTAAGCCATGTTGTCGAGTATTGCCAAAAGTGATAACAAGCTTGGAAAAGCTCCAGTTCTGCTAGTTCTGGGTGCCATCATTAAAACAATAAAATTGCTTTACAGTTATAAAGAATTATTTATAAATTAGATTTCCACTAATCTTTATGATGATATGCTGATGTGGAGGTTTCTTATGGATTCCAGCCCCAATCTTGTGTACTAATCTGCTACAATGAAAAGAAATGTGTAAATTGTTGTGTTTCATTCCAAATGTTCTCAATTCTCCAAGAGGGAAATTCTGCTTTCTTGACAATTTCCCTTTGGATTGTAATCGTTGCTATAAGGTATAACTTTTATCTCTGTCAGGTATATGGTTTCTATGATGAATGCCAGAGGAAGTATGGGAATGCCAATGCATGGCGGTATTGTACTGATGTTTTTGATTATCTGACACTATCAGCAATTGTAGATGGCACTGTAAGTGTAACCACCCTGCAGCAGCCCATCTCTCTCTCTCTCTCTCTCACTCTCTGAATACTGTAGTCCTTTTCCTCTCTAGATCTCTGTTTATTTATGTAGATGGGTCTGTATTTGCATCTGCTTCAATAACGGTAAAACTTGATGTTGTTTTTAATCCTCTAGGTGCTTTGCGTCCATGGTGGTCTTTCTCCTGACATCCGAACTATCGATCAGGTGTTTTTTCTTTTCTTTGTAGTATTTTAGCTGAAGAACTGTGCATTTCGGCAATACGCAATGTAGAGAGAGAGGGAGTCTCCATTGGGGTGCAGTATGTTGGACTATAATTTCCTGCTGCCTTTTTTCCTCATGGTTTGTACTGATACATTTTTTTCTCCCTATCACATGGCAGATAAGAGTAATTGAACGGAATTGTGAGATTCCACATGAAGGGCCATTCTGTGATCTCATGTGGAGTGATCCTGAAGATATAGAGACATGGGCAGTTAGCCCCCGAGGAGCAGGTTGGCTTTTTGGTTCTAGGGTCACTTCTGAGGTAATGAACCCGACCTCTAATTGGAACATGTCCCATTCACTGTAAACAAATGTCATATTGATCTGACATTTGGTTTTTCTTTCTTTCTTTTTTTTTTCCATAGTTCAATCACATTAACAATCTTGATCTGGTATGTCGAGCGCACCAACTTGTACAAGAAGGTCTCAAGTACATGTTTCAAGATAAAGGCTTAGTCACTGTATGTACTCTGAAACTTAAATTCATATGCTGTCAAACATATCCAAGCCAGCTTGGTGATTTTTGGTCTGTAAAATTTTCAGGTCTGGTCTGCACCAAATTACTGTTACCGCTGTGGAAATGTAGCTTCTATATTGAGCTTCAATGAGAATATGGTGAGTATAAGAGACCAGTATACTGCCTATGTTTTTTTGTGTGATCAAGGGAGGCATGCTATTATTGGTTGCATGGAAAACATTTTCATTGCAAGTGAGAAAAAAAGAGAGCTTAATCGCATTTGTTGTCTTCTTTTATTCAATGATGCATGATATTTAATTGTCTGTTCTTGGTACTTTTTTTAAATTAAAGATGATTTATGTGCATGCTTAATAAGGTCATTGCTAAGTTATGAAGTTACTATTCTAAAGAATTATGTTGCATTGCTGCATCTTCATGTTTTCAAACCCAATATACCCTTGTCAGTGTCCTTGTTTTCTGCTTGTGAATTCAGTTGGTTCATATGTATTCATATTTTATGTCGTTTCATAGGAGAGGGAAGTGAAGTTTTTTACAGAAACGGAGGAAAACAACCAGATGAGAGGGCCCAGGACAGGAGTTCCATATTTCTTATGATTGGGGAGAATAATTTGCTGCGTTACTTGTAAGATTGTGGAAGCACCGTTGCTGCTTATCTTGGAAGATATTTATTTAATGTTGGGGGACCGGAGAATACGTCATTGATTACATGCTCGCAGATGGACCTTCCAT